ATTACAAACAGTAGGGACTATTAATGTATATCTCATATGCAATTCTAATAAAATTCCTTCAGCAATGTAAGCCACCTTAATAACAAAAAAAATATATATATATAGTTGATAAGATAAATCTAAGTCTAATATTTAAAGAACTATATATGCTAAACTTATATATTAATATTATAAATTATATACTTATATCTTTTTTAAATAGATCTAATATACTCTAGATATCTTATTTCTATATTTTGAGTTATAGAATATCTAAGATTATAAATTAAAATTTAAGATTACTTATATTTACATTTTTCTTTTTTTTTGTTATTAAGGTAGCTTATCTTGTTGAAGGAATTTTATTAGTATTGCAAATAGAATTATATATTGATAATATCTACTGTTTGTAATTGCATAAAGAGTATATAACAAGCTACACATACAACTTTAGTTATTGTTTATTTTAAGTAGTTTACTGCATAGATATTAGGCTACCTAATTAGTTCTATACTATACTGCTATACCTGTAACCTACCTGTGAGTTACTTATTTAAATATTCTGTTCATTAATCTATACAGATCCTATCTAATATTATCATAATACTTAACTACTTAAGCTAGCTAGCTTGTTATAGATCTATTTATTCAGAATAGCTTAAGTCTTCTCAGAATACATTATATTAGATATATTACTAGTATTGCAGAGCCAGTTAATCTCAAAGCAAATCTACTAGAGCAGTCTATATCTATTTTATAAATTTATCTAGCTTAGACTCTTGTAGATATTCATACAACTCTAGGTTCTACTGTGATCTTCAACTGATTAGTTAATCTAATTCTTTTCTAGTATTTAGCTAGTCATAGTTACTCTTTGTCTAGAAACCTCAAAACCTTTTACTTTTATTAGACTGAGTTTTCTTCTTAGATCAGACTTTAGCTAATGTAGTCCTATCAGAAGGCTATATTACTTTACCAACTCAGAATTTCTACTATACAGATCCTTTGTCTATATATTCTATTAAGATTTATTCATGTAATATTACACTACACTTCCAAGTTCTGATCAATTTGATACAACTCAATTTATAAAGATATACCCTCAAAAATAAATAGGGTTTACTGTAATATATCACAAGGTCTAAGAAATTATTCAAATTCATTGATAGTAGAATTTAAATCCTAGACCTATTGTATAGTAGTCTGACAATCTAACTACTATATTAGATCACTAGATCTCTACTTATATTTATTTATTTGGTTTGTAAATAATCTATACTTAACTTTTCTTTATTAAAGTTTACAATAAGCTACTAGCTAATTAAAGTTTTATACCTTGTAAAAGTCTCTGAAATCCCTGACCCTACTGATTTGAAGTGGCCTATTTTTTTTTCTTTTTCCTTATTTATTATTTTTATATATTTATCTATTTTATCAAAATATATTTAGCCAGCTCACTTGTAATAATTAGCAAATATGTATGATAGTCTTATCTCGAAACCTGTAAAAGATCATTATTACCATAAATAGACCAAATTAATATTCAAGATATGATATATGTAGCATTTATGGCATATCGGACACATAAGGTATTTGTAGCAAATCTGATACATATGATCTATCTGACTAATATGTCATATCTAACATATAGGACACATATTGGATATGTTCCAAATATGCCTACTAGTATCATAAAAAGTATAAAAGCAATACTTTCTTCCCTTTTTAATAAAGCAACTCAGTAGTGAGTTCTAAAACAGTTTTAAAATACAAACTTTGAAATTTGAGTAGAAGTGTTGTACTAAAAAAGTCTAATTATTAAAAATATCGTCATTGATAAAAACACCCCTGCCTAGTACCCGTAAAATATAAAGTTCCATATCAATTATTAAATTACCAAATCAGTAAAATAATCAATCGATCACCTCTAAATAGTCTTATAGAAAAACCTCTTTCAAATAAGAATTTCTATTGTTAAATCTATAACCAATCAGATCAAAATCCAGATTACGTATCCTGTGATAAAACCAAAAGTATAAAAAAACTAAAAGACCAAACCCGAAACAACAAGAAGAATTAAAGCCTAAGGACCAAACAACACTCACCTAAAAGAAATCCTTTCTGCAATTCTAAAACCTAGACCAAATCCTCTACAACCTCTTTCAACCTGCTAACTTAGAGTTGATTGTTGGATTTGTAGTATTTGTTTGTTGAGCTACAAACCTAGGTGTAACTAAGAACTTCTGGATGAGTTCCGTCTCAGAACTGGTTCACACCTTCTCAACCTATACTTTAGCTCATAAAATATTTGTTTATTAGAAGTTTTTTTTAAAAAATTACAATAAGTTACTAGATCTTAAATTAGAGTTCTTATATCTATATTTTAACTCATAAAATATTTATTCTTCAAGAGTTTAATTTGAAGATTACAATAAACTGCTAGCTTTTTTAGTATAACTAATACAGAGATATTTAGTAACTCTTTTTATTAAATTTATCTAATAGGATACTTTCTAATAACTATTACTTGTTTTAGTAATAGGTAATTATAAATAGATATTTTCTAAATCTAAATTTAATTTTAAAAAATTTGTATAATATGAAATAAATCTTCTTAGACTTAGAATAGTATAAGTTATTTTTTTTTTTTATATATAACATAATCTATTTTAGAAATGAATATTGATAACTATAACTAGTGGTGATCATCACCAGTATGTAATTAGCCAATAAATTTGCAGGATCAGGTGTAATGTGTTGTGTAACAAAAACAAAGAAATTTTGAAAAAAATGCTAATATCTCAAGAATTTGTCTATGAAACCACCTTCGACGTTCTAACAAAAAAAATTCCTTGCTAAAATTTGCATATATATAACACTTTGTTAAAATCCTAGGCCTCGCCCTAACCCTAAAGTTAATGAAATGAAATCTTTTTATTGTTTTATCGTTATTGGCTAATTATACACTGGTGATAATCACCACCGGTTATTTAAAGTTAAATTCTTTAGAAATTATAGATCTTTTTTAGTTTGTTTAATATATATTATAATCAATAAAGAAAGACAAGAGAAACTTTTTTAATTTCTAAGAAGATTTCTTGAAAAACATTAAAAAAAAAAAAAAAAAAACTCTTAAATTTTTAAAAAAGATTTTTTTAAATTTTCTTTAAGTTTTCTTTAATTAAATATCCTTCTAAAATTATTTCAAATATTTCTGCTAAAATATTACAAGTATATAGTCTTCTTAATACAACACTAGTAATATAAAACAGAAAAGAGACTCTTAATAATGTCTAAATAAAATATTGACATGTCTGCCAAATTTTTTCGTCCCAGACAATTAAAATTATAATAAGAACAGCCGTGTTAGCCAAGTTTGTTAGATATTACTAAATATTGAACTCAATCTGGTTGTTTGATAAACCATATGATATAGACAACTATCACGGACATGAAACATTGTCAGGACATGGGACACTATCTGGGACTGTTCACGTCTGCGCAATTTTGACGGGACAACGTCCGCGTACAACACTGCCTTATAGTATGTCATTAAATATAACAATAACTATAATATAAAAAAAAAATTAGATTGGGTTTCAGTATTAAACTTCTATTATATGGTATAAAAACACTTTAACCTATTACTCTATTTATTATCAATACGTCGCAAATTGCAAAAGATAAGATACTATAATAACAGATAAAAAAAACCTTTTAGTAAAAGTTATTGCGCAAAAAAAGACTAGAAAGACTTTTTATGTTACTTAAATGTAAGTCATATAACAGGTGTTATATACCAAATAGACTCAATTAAGCTGGTGTGATTATTTGTTATTAATAAAAAAAAAAAAGCCTTTATTAGATGTTTCGCACCAATAACAGTCGCATTTGATTTTGAATTCATGTGCTAATTTGGGCTCCGAAGGACTCAGGTTGTCAAGCATATTAAATTCAAAGCCAGATACTTCTTTTATTTGCCGTGGAACTGCCGATCTGGAGTTTTTTTGATTTTGGCCACAGTCCTATTTATAATTCTGGCCGCTAATATTGTGGCATAAAATTAGTAAAAATTATTTGGTCGGTCATCAATCTAAATAAATCAAAATTTTTCATGGTCCCTGAATTGATTCAATCAATTCGTATTACTTGTCGTCTATTAATCGATTTTCTGTCAAAATATTTAGAAAACAATTCTTAAAATTCTTAGAAAGCATAAGAGATAAATATGGGCAGAGACTGGACTCGTTACAACTTGTGACTCGCGAGTTAAACTCTGAAAAGTACTCGAATCAACTCAAATCATATGATCGAGTTATTTTTTCGAAAAATTCGAATTATTTGAGTCAAATAAATTAAAAAATAAATTAAAAAATTTTGTAAAGTTTAATAAGAATTACGAGTAACTCGCGAGTGTTGATTTTTATGATTAGAATCGTGATAAACTCGAGTTATTCTAGTCACGAGTTGATAAGTCCAATTTATAATCTTGAGATTCGGTCATAGGATAGAACGAGACAAAACGAAATTAAAAAAAAAAAATAATTAAAAAAATTTAACTATTGTTACGTCAATAATCAATTTAAGTTGCTTTTAACTTTGTCGATTATTACACATTTATTACAGTACATTTATTTAATCACTATGCTACGCCGCTCATATAAACATGATACAAATTTAGATAATGATAGTTAATTATATTAAAAATGATAAAGATATAAATTTAAATCATTGAATGCAAAAAAAGAATCACCACTCATTCCGTATTAATAATATCTACCGGTAATATCGTTTTATTACTGAGCATATATTGCGTAGAGTGAAGAAAAGATTAAACACCTAAATACACAGTACGTTAAAAAATACGGTTGGTATAGAATAAAATAAATTAGCGAGTTTTGAGATTCATTAAGTTATGAAAACTAATATCCTAATTTTTTAAACAATAACATAGTTGGAAATAATTTTGAGTTGTAAAGACTATTTATTCACTTCAAAACATTGTAATAATATAATACATTATGGTAAATGCAAAAGAATGGTTGAATGAAAAAATTCCAGTAAATCAAAGAGCAAAAGCAATAAGTCTTTACATCTACAAACAATGTCAAAGTGGTCATACAGTCTATCAAAATAATTGTAATTATTGTGCAAGTAAAAATAACATTTATGCTGCTCCAAATTTTCTATTCTATAATACTACTTTGGAAGGAGAGTTAGACCTTAAAGATTTTGTTAATTTGCAGCAATTATATATATGTGGTACTGGACAGGATCAGAACCAGCAACAAAAGTTAACTAGATTGTGGATTGATAAATGCAATAAGTTAAATCGTCTACAAATTAAGTTTAATAACACTACTTTTTACGATTTATTTGTTAGAGAGAAAATATTTAATTATAATTTGCTAATAAGAGGATTAAAACGTGCTCATCTCGATGATTTAGAATTAGAGAAAAAAAAACTTGAAGAAAAAAAAGTAGTAAATCAATTAGCAAATAAGGTGAATGAAGATAATCAATTGTGGTTAGAATTTTTACTAGAAACTCAACAAGAAGTTTTACAAAATGACAACGCTTTTGCCCGAAAACAATTAAAAAAAGTTGAAGAAAGATTGTCTAAGGAGCTAACTGCGAAAGAAATCCAAAATTTATTAGGCAAAAAATTAGAAAATTATAAATTAATTAAATAATCTCAAAATTCAGGAAAGTCAAAATGACTAATCGAAAATTATCGAATCTCGCTTATTATTTATTGAAATTTCTGTTATATATACTTTGAAGGGACAGACGCTACTTGATAATTATAGATACAAGGATCAAAATAACATTTTCTGTCATTATTCTTTTTTCGAAATTTCTATTTAGTTGTCTATATTATATTCATTTATTTTTATAGTATAGTAATCTTTTTTATTCAATGGATAAGCAATGATTTTTTGAAATTAAAGCTTAAATAATAAATTCAATCAAGGGTAATTTGTGAGAATCTGATTTCATTTAAATAGGTAATGAATTAAACGTCGAAAAAATTTGAATAGTATTATAGTTCCAGGCCAAATTATGTTGATCATGACCAAGACTATCTTAATGTCAGCTAAATTAAACGGTTAAACGATTAAACGGATAAAATAAATAGAGATAATTTATTTATCACTCAGATGTACTTCGAAAAGAACATTTTTTTTTGAGACTTTAGAGTTAGGGTCCTATATGTAAAATTTAGCAAGGAATTTTTTTACTTAGAGCCGAAAGGTCAAAATTCTCTGTTATGTTACACATACGTTACATTTGATCTTGCAAATTTATTGGTTAATTTAGGGTAGAGATACGATGATACGATCTGGATATCCGTTAAATTTTAAATAAAAAAACGGATAACGAATCGCATCTCTAATTTGGGGGGGGTGAGATCTCACCCTGGATAATGACTCAAATAAATTTTAGATGCTTCCAACTTATTAATTTTCTTTGTAAAATACTTATTTAAATTTTGAATACATTATCTTATACGACTGTTTAAACTAAAATCAAATTCTTTCAATTAGTAATAATATATACTTACCCAGTATTGTAGTTGATTTTGTTTTGGTCGATTTTATTGAATTACTTGTTAAATCTTCTATAGAGATAATGTCTAGAGAATAAAAAAAAAAAAAATAGTATAATGCCGGATATTAAAGTCGTGTACTGAAATTTATCGATGCACATTAAACAAAAGATTAGTACTGTACTTAAAAATAATCAGTGGTAATGATCACCAATCTGGCCCAGTTTATTGGGACCAATCACAAGACTATCTTAGATTTTAATGGTTCAAACGATCCATTCATAATAAAAGACTGGCCACTGGAATTGGCCTTTAATATAATTAAGCCTACTCTAATACGAAGAATAGGTACTCTTATTATTATATCAATTAGTTTTTATCCTTAGTACTCTAAACATATTTTATGAACAGTTCGATAATAATTACAAACAAGTGATTAGATTATCTAAAAAATAAATATAAATAGGCAACTGGAAAGGGGTCTAGTTTATGGCTAAACTGATCGTAACATAATAAATGAAGCTAATTACTATACAAGAGTTGCTAAAACGTTTAAAGGTAATTGTAGCTTAGTAGATTTGTTCTTAAATATTAAATACATTTACAATAAAAATTAGGTTTGAAATTATATCTTTTCTCTTTATACTAATGCAAAAGTTTCAAGAATAATTTCTATCTTATAAATTCCACACATACCATGCATATCGAAATTATTTTTGGATGTTGAAATAATTTCGATAAATAAATTGTGTCGAAATTCGAAATTCGAAATTATTATCAAGTATTATTGTAATTTTGTTATAAGAAATAAATGTGTAGATCGCATCTCGTGATGTATGTAGTATCGGTGTGATTAGTCAATTCAAAAATATTATTACATTTCCACCACTCTGAGCATTTAGCCATTCTTAGAAAACTAAAAAAGAAAATTTACATTGAAAATTTCATGATTAGATTATTGGCTTTAATTTTTTTATCAGCCAATTTGATTTTTTGGACATTGTTACACAAAAGTTTACTCTAATTGACGTTGAAAAAATAACAAACGAGACACGTCACAGCCAGTAAAAGAGCTTTTCTAGTACATGTAAGAGATATAAAGCAAATAAAAAACAAATAAAACAGCCATACTAAGCCGTAGAAAGAAGTACTATCACTTATTGTTGAGACGTTCTGGTACAGTATTGAAGGATGGGTTTGTCATTGAAGGATGGGTTTAATAATATCAAGGGTGAATTTGGAAGCAATTTTTTAAGAAAACATCCTTTAAAACTTACCTTTGAACTATAATTAAATAGGTAAATAACATCATATTCTACATATTTAATTATAGGTCTAGAATAAGTTAAAAAGGTTGTTCTTCTGAAAATTCGATTTGTTAAACAAAATTTTGTCCGGTAATTTTGGCTAATTTTGGGGTATAATCAAATCGGCCCATATGTTAAAAAATATATTTTGTCTGATTATTACTATAATTCTGGTCAAATGATCTGCAAATTTGACCAGAATTAGATCAGTTTTGATTTTTATTTTCGACTTATGACTTTTGAATTTCGAATATTTAATTTTGTTCGAAAATACTTTAGATAAAATTTCGAATAGATAAAAATCTAACAGTATACAAAATTGGATATATGATGTTTGCAGAGCATCAACAGAGAAGTTTCAGTGATATATTGTCAGGTCTTTACATGAAGGGTATTATCAGCAAAAAAAAATTTGGACCAAAATTACACCAAATTTTACTAATGAAATCGTAGAATCCATTAAAAAAATAAGTATATTATTAAGAAGCAAACCTATTTTCTAGAAATTTTTGTTGTGAGTCAAAAACTTTGAAAATTGAAAATTAAAATATTGAGTATAAATATTATGTTATTATGCAGGCGAAGTTGCGGCTGCGCCATGATCTACGTCATAGCACTTTATGGCTGCCCTGGTTAATTCTGAAGGGTATTAGACAAATAAGTATTTAGAGAATAATTTTTTAATTTTAATGCCACTGATTAACATTATTAATAAATCATTTTTATACTCACGCATTATTGAAGGGTATTAGGGAATTAACTAACTGTAAATAACTGATTCAAGTATTTACGTTAATAAGCTATCTCGCACTATTTGAAGGGTATTATTTAAATATCATTTTTTTTTAGGCCAAGTGATATTCGGAAAATTGAATTGCAATACGTCCGAAGTCAAAATAGTGACTTAACAAATCTAATTATGAACCAAGAACTTTACTATTGTTATATGGTAAAACGCAGTAAAATTTTATCTTTTGTTTTCTCATACGTAATTAAAATTTAGAGGTAGAATAATTATATTATTGCGCAGGTTTGCGCAGGTAAAATATGTTACATTTTATGATCAAGAAGGAAATTTATTACCAAAATTAAAGTTAAAATTTCGGTATAATTTTTTATGGTGGATAGCATATATATTTATGTTTATATTATAAAGGATACGTATACAGTATAAGTACAATAAACTATATTAAAGCCATGTGTTGGATATCAAAATAAAATTAATTATATAATTATATACAATAGTTAGCATCGGAGTCGATGACAATATTGACAATACCAAAATAGTAAATACAAAAGTTTAATATCAAACGCGGCGAATATATCGGCAGACAATTCCCATTGAGATCTTACATATCGTATTTTTTTTTTTTTTTGATTTTCTAAATTTTACCAAAATCAACATTTTTATCTTGTTATTTGATTTACTAAATTTTACCAAAAATTGCATTTATAATAATGATGTGTGTGTGTAAAAAAAGTTGTACACCATTTTTTTGATAACGTATGCTTTTTTGATGATGCATAATTATTTACGTGATCAGATCACCTGTGGATTAGTAAAGGTCAAATATATCTATCTTTGTATAATATTTCAATAATCCGAAAAATTAAAACTTTTTTTGTAATAAATTTTTGATAAATAGATTAGCATTACATATAATGCGCAGGATATACTGTACATAATAAAATAAAAAGGACCGCCCAGCAGATTAAACGGAATTTCTTTTTTTAAGTAAAATATTCGCCCTTTCAACCATTCAAAGTCAAATTAAATGCAATATAAATGCAATATTTTATTAATTGCATATAACATTAACAAATTTAGTAATTACTCGACTTAAATAACTTACTATGTACGTATATGACTTTCACATTTAGCGCCCATGTACTACTGAACATTAAGAAATCATTTTTTAAGAAATGTGGTTTTAATTAAATGCAGGGACATATATTTTTTTATACATGAGTACCTTTATTTTATTTTATTTTATTTTATTTTATTTTTTTATTGTTATTAAATCGCTTTGATAACATTTCCAAATAAATTAGGAAACAAGCTTACGCACCAATAATGCCATGACTATCATCGGATCAAAAAATAATGTTTTTTTTTTTTTTAATTTTATCGTAGATCTAAACATACGAAAATTTTGACTCATCAAAGGTTCATAACTATTATATGTTAACAAGGAAAAACTTAAAAACAAATAAACTTTGAAACATAGGAGTTTTTTTTTTATATTTATTTACATTTTATTAATAATAAAGATATATTACTTTATTATTCAAAATTGGTTAAGCTTAACTTTTTTTTTAAAAAAAAAAAAATAACAAGAGGTACGTACAAAAAAAAAAAAAAATGAATTCAACAATGACTCAAAAGTACAGTATATTTATGTTAATTATTTTAATTAATGGATGAACAGTACGTACCGCGTGGTAAAACAAATTATTTAGCAATGATTTTATGGTTTTCGAGATGTTAAACAATGTAAAACTGTTTAAAGAAAAAGTTATGTAATACCTAAATAAGAGAATAAACAAATTTATTTCACATATATTTATTATTAAAATATTTTAAAGTGAAATCTATATATAAAATTAACCTTTTGGTTTTTTGAGTTTTACTTCTAGTTTTACTTTTAAAGGTTTCATGGAAAAAATTTTTTTTAATAATGGTGTTTTAAAAACACACACAAAGATTGGTATCGAAACATATCATTGATACTATGTAGTTGTTAAACTTATCTTTTTACCACAAAATTCTTTATACTTGTAAGTACGTAGCAGGTTAGTATAACGATAAAGTAATAGCATATACGTACTGTACATAGTATATTTTTTTTATACGTATCATGATATACTATATAATAATGATTTGCTACTATAGTGATTACTATATAAATTATTTTTATTGAAACGTATCATTCCAAAATCGTTATATTAAATGCAAGTAAAAGAGATGGCCGAAGTCGTACTAGTTAAAAAAAAAAAATTTTTATTAATTTCATTGGTATGCATATGCCAGATCTCTGATTTTCAACTGCCAAAAAATTCAGTTGAAAGGCACAGCCACAATTAAAATGTTATTATTATTTTTGCCACTGTTTTGACAATCCAAAACACAAAAAATGTTTCACTAGCCTCTTTTTATAATTACTGTACGATTAAAAAAAGTAACAAACGGTAATATACAAAGAAGGTAAACAGATGCATTGTATGCAATAAACATTTACGGTCCGACTAGATTTAGAGGAATCCAGGTTATCGACTTGATTTTTTTTTCGTGAGTGTAAATTATTATTATTATTATTGTTTTATAGTTTTATCGAATCAAAATCTTTATTATGTGAAACTTTCGCAGGCACATGTAAATATCCAAACCTTTTAACCGCTTATATGCAAATTTACTCGCCTGTTTACTTTTCTTATGCATAACCCCCTACGGAATCAATGTTTCCTAGAATAAAATAAATTATTGATAGGCGTTTTTTTTAAACAGGCTACCATTGTATGTTTATATAATATATTAACTAATAATGGTAACTAAAATCGGAGTTACTGTAAAGTTATAAATAGGAATAATGACACAATGTTTGTTTAAAAATTGTGGCGCCCACCTGATTTTTTTTCGGTGTTGATCAAACCGAAACAATTAATGCATAAAATTTCTCCTGAAAAGATTTTTTTAATAAAATCTTTTTTTAGTATTAGATATTCCTTTTAATATTATTGGTTAAATCATTATCTAAATTTTATGATAACGGCCATGTGTGTAACATGTTCATTCTGGAACTTTTTCTTTTAAATCCGTATGCAATATTCAAATCTTTGTGATTGTTACACTAGGTTAAGTTAAAACCCGGTATTAAAATTATGCCTTATTCTAAGAAATTTCGAGAACTATGTAATCAAGATAATGTAATCAAACTGTGTAATCAAAAAAAAAAACTTGTGTAATTAATTATGTCGATGTAATTATTAATATTTATATTATATAATTTAGAATTTTTTATGATTTAGTAATAGGTTTCAAAGTTCAAGAAACATATTGAAAGTTCAAGAAACTTTATCGAAAGTTCAAGAAACTTTATCGAAAGTTCAAGAAACTTTATCGAAATTTCAAGAAACTTATCGAATGAGTAGTATCGCCACCCTATGATGAATTATACGGCTATCGGATGATGTCTGCATTTATTTTTTCATTTTGATGATCCAGATAATTAGCCACAAACTTTAGTTACATATCATGCATATAAACGCATACATCTATCCGGAATACTTTCGAAAGTGGATTATGATCCGGAATAGAATTTTTTAAAGAAAATTATATGAAAAAAGATATATATTATGTAAAAAAAAAATTTAATGTATTAGGGTATTGGTAATTGGCGTAAAAAGAGTGCCCAGATCTATTTTTATGCTATCATTTTAAGAAGAAAACGGAAAGGGTTTAAAGTCAAAACTTTTTTTTAATAATAAAGTGAAACGTGTAATCTAACCTTTTCCTTTTTAAGTACATTTTTTTTCGTTTTGAAAAAAAATGAAATTTTATTGGCATCAATGAATTTTTAATATGTAAACTATATAACATCATTCATTTAATTTTCCTTTGATTTACCGATATATATTTTTCAGAAATCCTTTTCAATCTATCAATTTAACCATTCTTATATAACATGTGATGAATATTATAAAATCGATTTGTTAAATATTAAAACTTTAAACTGCAAGTTTAATTAAATTTACGCCAATATTTGTTAAAATTGGTGATCCACGATACTTTGAAGATAGTCTATGCATTTTTTTTTTTTTTTCCTCTATGTGTAGTTGAGTTAATTACGTAAATTAAGTAAATCAATAAATTTTAATAATTCTAATAAATTTTAATAATTCTAATAATTTAGTCAATAAAATTTTAATAATTTAATCAATTTTAATAATTCAATAAATTTTAATAATTTAGTCAATTTTAATAATTTAGTCAATTTTAATAATTTATTTATGGTACGATTATTTTACGTGATTACGGAACGGATAAATTATTTAATATTACACATACTACGGTAATCAGTATTGCCGATATATATTTATAATTTTGTTATATTTAATATTTATTATATTTGATATTATTATTATTATTATTATTATACGATTCCTGAGATATTAATTATCAATACTGCACTGCAATAACATTCATTTATCAAAGATGTTAAGCGTTTACATTTTTTATTATATAAACCGAATTTATTTAATTATTTAATTATTTAATTATTTACGATTTTTCAAATAAGTTTAGACGGTTTAACCTCACTAAACTGTAAATAATATTTATAATTTCATTTCATGATTTGCTATATATGTTTAATCGTTGATATTGTTTATTATAATAGAATATTTGTTTTTTCTACATACAATAGGTTAATATTGTTAGGTTAATTAATCAAAATTTGTTTTTAATAATATTTAATTATTGCATTTTGATTCAGTTACGTAAAAGAAATATACGCTTTAGGTATAGACAAAACAACTACGCATTTATCAATATTTACTACTTTGACATTATAATAAACCGTTTTACACTTTTTTTTTTATTGGTAGACTTTTTAATAACTAATTAAATGAATAGAAAATAAAAATACAATTGTTCTAATAAAATACGTAATTAAACATGCGTTTTTTTTTTTTTTTTTTTTTTTTGTTTATTATTGTCAAGTGAATGAATGTAAGGGTGATTCTTCAATTGTTTTTGATCATTTTATTTCACATTATTATAAAAATTATAAAATACGTATCAATTATCAAATCATATATATAACAAAATGTACTTACTTTCTATTATTATTAATGAATAATATAATGTTAATTTGTTGATTGTTTTGTACACTTATTCTTAACCAATCTTTCATTATTCGAGAACTATGCAAAAAAATTAATATACCGTAACTATTTGTTCTATTAAACAATAAGTTTAATGGTGTTCAAGTAGATCCTCGTGGTGACATGTTTTTTTTTTTAGAAATAACCGATATATTTCATGAATTTGTAACAATAAAATGGCACCATTCTCAAACGTTTTTTTTCTCCGTAATTATTTTTGTTTTTTTTTAAAAAAAAAAATGTTATTAATGTTAGTAAGCTTTAAATTCAACTTAAGAATTCAATTGTAGTACGTAGTTGAAAAGATTTTCAATAATGTAATATATTATATAAAATATTAGTGTATAGTGTAAATCTATGCTTTAACTCGGGTTTTTGTAACACCTGTAAAAATGATTTAGACCCGAGCGAGTATGCAAAGTGGCGTCTGTGGTTGTGTAACATGAATACTGAAAAAATCTATATAATCCTAGTGGTGTGGCAACCTTCAAATTTCAAAAAAAATTTCAAAAATAGACTTGAAGACAATTTTATTTATTATATATATATATATATATTTAAAAAAAAATACATAAAAAGTCACTTTTTCTTCTCAACAGTCCATTATTATCGAACCTTTTATTCTTTTTGTTATTATATCAATTTTTTGGCGATAGTTTTTTTTTTTTTTTTGATTTTTATCAAACTATATATCCAAATTTATATTCTCACTTTCCCTTTTTGTGATCTACACATTGTAAGTATTCGTTTATGATGTTCTGCGCAATTATAATTTAAATCAATATAAATAATATAAATATTAACTTTTTTTTTTTTTTTCTTTTTTTTCTAAAAATTTTTTTAGCAAAAAAAAAAAAAATGGACGTTGAAGCTAGAAATAAATTTTGCGGTCTCTTGATGTTCACATCTTCGACAGATGTCTCTGGAACAAAGGGTAGCAATGTCATAGTAAATAACTATGATACATCTTCTTTTACCTCATTCTCTGAGTCTGAACCTTTTCACGCTGATTCGTCTTCTATCGCCGCTGGCGCTGCAGCTACCGATGAGAATGAAAATGGAAAGAAATCTCCAGGATGTTCAAAATCACAATTAGAAAAGCGTCCACCGCGTCCTCCAAACGCATTTATCTTATATAGACGAGAGAAGCAGCCGGGAATTTTAGCAGCTCATCGTCATCTTACTAATGCACAAATTTCAAGATATATTGCTGATTTATGGAGAGGTGAATCTAACGAAACTCGTTTACACTGGGAACGAGAAGCTGATAAAACAAAATTAGAACATATGAAAGCATATCCAAATTATGTTTATCGTCCAAACAAGAAAGGAAAGAAAGAAAGACCAAATCGTAGAGAAAGAAGAAAATCTTCAAATTCAGGACTTTCTACAAGTTCAGTAGAAACTGGTCCTATTAAAGTAAAAATAAATAAAGGACAAAATAGGATGAATATTTTAAGCGGACCTGATATGACAAAATTCTCTAATAATTATCAAAATAATTATCAAAATAATTATCAAAATAATTACCAAAATATGTTACCAACATCATCATCGGGATCACCAACTTGGATGGCTGATATGACCTATAACCCTGGAACTAACGAAGAACTTCTTACACCAGTTACACCAGTTAATAATCAACAAACTTTTCAAGATTTTGCTATGTGGACAATGGTTCCTTCACAATTAGCTCCTAATAATCAAAATTTATCACATTTGACTTTTCAAACTATTAATGAATTACCTACACCTACTTTTCATGAAGAAATTATTGATCCTTCTATGATTCTCTTTAATGATAATTCATTTTATGATCAAAACGCTTTTATCAACACCAAATCCTCTAATAATAATAATAATTCCAACACTGGTGTTGGTAATAATCAATATGATAATACAGTTAATTATCCTATAATCGATGAAATACTTGCAAATATGGAATTAGCAAGTTATGAACGTTGTTTAAAAAATGAACAACTACATTAAGCATTTTTTTTTCACTAAAAAATTCTTAAAAAAAATTCCTTTGAAAAATTAAATTTTTAAGAACATTTTTTTTTTATATAATTTTGTACTTTATTTTTTTCTTTTTTCATATTCTTTTCATCGAGCATTTTCTTTTTATTATTATTATTATTTTCTTATATTGGAGGAAAGGATGTAAAGGATATGAGTGTATATATGAAAAAAAAAAATGGGTTGGGTCATATATATATTATATATTTTTTTGGGGGGTTTTTTTTTTTGGATAATCTTTTAAAGTTTAAAAACAATAGAAAAAAACTTTTCTTAAAAAAATAAACGCTAGTTCGATTTTCTTTTTTAATTAAAGTTTTTTTTTATTTTTTTTAAACTTTTAAGATTTTTTTTTGTATAAATTTTTGTATCTATATATATAATTTTTTTTTTTTTACCATTTTTTTTTTAAAAAAAAAAAGATAATATACTCGTTGCATCCTTTCCTCCTATATAAATGAACAAATGAACATTTTTTTTCTTTTCTTTTCTTTTTTTCTCTCTCTTTCTCTCTTCCATGTGTACTCTCTCCCTTTCACAATTTGCATCATCAAACGCCATTTTGTACATTACACAAATATTTTTTTATTTTTTTTTTCTTGATTTTGGTTTTTTCTTTTATACAACAAAAAAAAAAAAAAAAAAAAAAAAAAAAAGAAAAAA